TTTTCGCTATTGCATAAATAGCGCTATCTACTGCGAGGATCGTGCATCATACGTATCTAATACCGCAGTTCAAAATATATGAACTTCATATATTCATTGTATCTCATTTATCACTTTCACGGGTTTATTACGAATCAACTTAACGGCCTGCTCCCAGTTGGCTTGTTAGCTCAATTGGTAGAGCGCTGCACTAGTATCGCAGAGGTCAGTGGTTCGAGTCCCGTACAAGCCTGATTTTTTTCAGGTCTGATTTTCGCTATTGCATAAATAGCGCTATCTACTGCGAGGATCGTGCATCATACGTATCTAATACCGCAGTTCAAAATATATGAACTTCATATATTCATTGTATCTCATTTATCACTTTCACGGGTTTATTACGAATCAACTTAACGGCCTGCTCCCAGTTGGCTTGTTAGCTCAATTGGTAGAGCGCTGCACTAGTATCGCAGAGGTCAGTGGTTCGAGTCCCGTACAGGCCTGATTTTTTTCAGATCTGATTTTCGCTATTGCATAAATAGCGCTATCTACTGCGAGGATCGTGCATCATACGTATCTAATACCGCAGTTCAAAATATATGAACTTCATATATTCATTGTATCTCATTTATCACTTTTACGGGTTTATTACGAATCAACTTAACGGCCTGCTCCCAGTTGGCTTGTTAGCTCAATTGGTAGAGCGCTGCACTAGTATCGCAGAGGTCAGTGGTTCGAGTCCCGTACAGGCCTGATTTTTTCAGGTCTGATTTTCGCTATTGCATAAATAGCGCTATCTACTGCGAGGATCGTGCATCATACGTATCTAATACCGCAGTTCAAAATATATGAACTTCATATATTCATTGTATCTCATTTATCACTTTCACGGGTTTATTACGAATCAACTTAACGGCCTGCTCCCAGTTGGCTTGTTAGCTCAATTGGTAGAGCGCTGCACTAGTATCGCAGAGGTCAGTGGTTCGAGTCCCGTACAGGCCTGATTTTTTCAGGTCTGATTTTCGCTATTGCATAAATAGCGCTATCTACTGCGAGGATCGTGCATCATACGTAATGACGATAATGATGAATAAAAAATGCGAAAAACCTCTGACTTAAGATGTCTTTGAGGGTCTTATATAACAAGACTCCCATAATTTCACACTATCAGGAGGCTATGAGTCGTATTTGGCATGTCAACACCTTTTACTCATTGATATTTTTAAATCAAAACCATTAATAAGGTCACGTATCACAGCGCCGCGAGACTATGAGACGTATTTGGCCTGTCAACACCTTTAACTCATTGATATTTTTAGACAGCAAAACAAAAAGGTCATCGCACCATCACGAGGCTATGTCAGTCTTCTTTGGCACCATTCACTCTTTTTACCCATTCTGTGTCATCTTAAGTTGCTGTCGTCTTGCGTAAATATCTTGTGTGGAACAGATCATAAGCTTGATTCATGGAATAATCGTGGTAGGTTTATTCATTAGTTATCTTTATTTAAACTTTTTCGCCTAATGACGAACCCACGCGCAAAGTCACCCAAGTCACGCCACAATTTTTCGTAACACTCATAATAGCTCATTGTAGCTCATTGTAGCTCATTGTAGGTCATTGTAAACCATTGTAGGTCATTGTGGATCATTTTAGGTCATTCCTTGTTCCCACGGTAACTCATTGTAGCTCACTGTAGCTCATTGTAGGTCATTTCAGGTCATTGTAGATCATTGTAGGTCATTGTAGGTCATTGTAGGTCATTGTAGGTCATTGTAGATCATGGTAGGTCATTGTAGGTCATTGTAAGTCATTTTAGATCATTGTAGGTCATTGTAGGTCATTGTAGGTCATTGTAGACCATGGTAGATCATTGTAGGTCATTGTAGGTCATTGTAGATCATTGTAGGTCATTGTAGGTCATTGTAGGTCATTGTAGGTCATTGTAGGTCATTTTAGATCATTGTAGATCATTGTAGGTCATGGTAGATCATGGTAGGTCATTGGAGGTCATTGTAGGTCATTCTAGGTCATTCTAGGTCATTGTAGATCATGGTAGGTCATTGTAGGTCATTGTAGATCATTGTAGGTCATTGTAAGACATTGTAGATCATTATAGATCATTGTAGGTCATTGTGAGTCATTGTAGGTCATTGTAGATCATTATAGGTCATTGTAGTTCATTGTAGCTCATTGTAGCTCATCGGAGGTCATTGTAGGTCATTGTAGATCATTGTAGGTCATTGTAGATCATTGTAGATCATTGTAGGTCATTGTAGATCATTCCTTGTTTTGGATTTGACCAGCGTTTCGACCGGAGATGGAATTCATAGTGGAACGAGCAAAGTCTTAAAACAGACAGTTCTTGAACAAAGAAGATAAGACATTACGTCATCTTTTGTCGCGTAAGCCTGACCAACTAAGCTATCAATTCAACGGGCTTATACTATTTTGCGAAACGAAACGAAACGAAACGAAACGAAATTGTACTATTTTGCGGAACGAAACGAAACGAAACCAAATTTTGCGAAATGGCGTTTTTTCGCCTTTATTTAGCAAATATGTCCTTTTAGTCCGAAACTAAACGTGTCCACTAATAAAATGATCAATATTTCTAAGAGCCTGGTCACCTCTCATTTCATTAACCATAATAGGACTCGTTTCGCAAAGTAGTACTTTTGACAGAATTACTATTTTGCGAATGGCGTTTTTTCACCTTTATTTAGCAAATATATCCTCTTCGTCCGAAACAAAATGTCTAGTAATAAAATGATCAATATTTCTAAGAGCCTGGTCACTTCTCATTTTATTGATCATAATAGAACTCGTTTCGCAAAGTAATTTTGACAATTTTGCTAAAAGACTTTTGGATATTTTGGATATATCAACAAAGCTGAAATGGTAAATTGGCCACCGTAACGATTACAAAAGCTGACTGAGTTCTACAAAGGGATATAGGGGATCCTTAATGTAGAATAAGAATCGATGTAACTTTGTTCTCATCCATATTCTTTTAAATTCTGAAATGTCACTTTAATGTCATCATTAAGCTTGTTTATTGAAATGACCTTGTCACGGTAATATAGTGACATGTGATTTTCCAAATACGGAGGCATTAACACGCTGGTTGAATGTGATGTGCAAATTAGTCATAATTAAGAGCGAAATGATATTTCCCATTAATTAATCGGCTTGCATTTTCCGCGGCTTTCTTTTCCAAGAAATCTTTAAACAAAGATAATATGGAAATGAATCTTTTAAAAGTGTAAAGCCCTGATTTTTTCTCATCAAAAACTTGTTAACTGATGTTACATGTAAAGATGACTCAGAGTTTCCTCAAAAGACATTTAAACCGGAAATTCATTCTGAAAGAAATACAGGGTAAATGGTTGGTGAAAAGCTACCGTAATGAAGATTTAAAATAATGATGGCTAAACGTCGATCACGGCTTTGAGAAAATGGAAGCTAGAAAATTTAATTATTATCTGGCAAAACTAACATATCGGTGTGAACGTTAAGGCCCGGTTATTTAAACACAGTTTGTTTGTTTGTTTGTTTGTTAAACAGCGTTCTGGTTTAGAAATGGTATAAATAAACAGCCCTGTGTGCTAGTAAGCGTAAATATTGACCTGAGAGTTTCTGAGATGTGAATAACATACACAACCTTCTATGTGGTGAGAGTAAGTGACTCTGAAATTCGACCCGTAATGCACCTGCAACCCTTGAGCACGTCTGGCTAGGTCACAAAGTCAATAAAAACCAATATACATCAATTAAGAGGTCAATAACACTTAGTATTCCGGCTTTCCTGACCAGTAAATGTCAATGATCAAGGTTGCTAAATGTCATCAGTCATTCAGATGTTCGATTCAAATACAATGTTTAATTATAGGATAAAAGTACATGAATTTATTCTTTTGGGCCAGGATAAAATCTGAATGAAAGAGAACAGATTTTTATTTTTGAAAGAACAATTAGGTAGGGGGATAAGTACAAAATTAGATCATTATTTTCAGCTGCGCTTTTGTTCTTTGACATTTCGAACAAAGCAAAAGGTGTCACGGATGACGTCACGAAACAGCCGTCGCTTTTATCCGAGGTATTTCCGCCGAAGGTGTATAAACATCTTCGCTTCGCTGATCGTGAATCGGATCTCACATCACTCATCGATCATCAAGTCTTGTGTCTCGTTGGAAATTTTTCATCTAGCGTGATCTGTCTTTTCGGGTCAACTATGGCTCAGTTCGAAGCCCAAGAGCACAATGTAACGGGGCAAATTATGACGACCAGGTCCAACGAACCGGCGTCGAAAGGTTGGCAAGCATTCCAAGTCATATTTTGGACGTGGCTGACGGTGGCAACTGTTATTGGGAATTCTTTGGTGCTACTGTGTATTGCGTTGAAAAAGCGGCGAAATTCGTCCATGTTTAAGTTTTATGGAAGCCTCGCTTTAGGAGATCTGATTGTAGGTGAGTGAAACAAGGAGGGTGACTCGCAAAGCTTGATTGAACAATGGTAAAAATTTATCGCCAAATGTCTAATTGAAAAGTTAACGATTTGTTCTTATAATTACAAATGAGGCTCAAATAATTTGCATGCAGAGCTCGTTTGGTTTTGGGCCTGAAACCAAAATTTCTCTGGCTAACATAATGCTTTATCAAACCTACATTCAGCCGTCCTATTCCGTAAAGATGGTGCAAATATTTGCCAAGAGAACAGCACGCAAGCTGCATCAGTCAGTCCCGTAACTATGCTAAAACTCCTTACACTCTTAATTAGATTCTAAAATTTACCTGTATTGCTTAAATCAATTTATTTCATTCATGGAGATTAATCACAATCACAGCTTTTTTGAGTAAATATGAATATATTTAAATTTATAAATGACCTCGGGGTTTTAATTGTGATGAAATTCATTAGTCGTATTTCCGATATTTTGTTTCGCAGTGTTGAAATTTTCTAGACTGAAACCCACGCTGCCGCTCGACTTCCTTTGATAATCCGCAGGAGTAAATATTATCTTTTACTCTACGTAAACACTTGCGCAAGATTGAAAAGGTTGAATACAAACAGTAGTTTTTATCTGTCAGATCCTTCCTTCTTTTACAGTCTCCAGTGACTGAATAGGGTTTCGTGACCTGTGCCCTATCTATAGATCTAAATCGTATTGTTCTTTTTCTTTTCAATGTAAACAGAGGGAAATTAACTTTTTAAAGAAAAAACACTTAAAAAAAATTGCAGTTTTGCCTTGGAAATCAGAGTAGCTCCCTATCGGCGTCCTCAGGGAAAATAATTGATTAAAACAGTGGCCGGTACGTTTTTCCGGACAATCGGCCTTTGAATAAGACCCAGCGACCTTCAGACGTGAAGTGGTGTTTAGAGATTTCAGGGATTTCCGAGCTCACGTTCTCACTACAAGGTCTTGCACGTCCACATTTCCCATTAAGCACAAATCTGATCTATCTTCGTCCTTACCTAATCACATATAGTCCCTTGAAAACCAACCTTAGACAAAAATAACATCAGTTGAAAATATCTGCCCTTATTATTCCGAAGAAACGTCTCGAAAAATTATTGCTTGTTGGTTCACGTATTTCTTCTGTAATTGTTTTCTTTTTGAGAAGTCTGCTTACTGTAAACCCGCCTAAGTCTGGTAGCATGGTGATATCGCATTAGTTTTACAAGTGACGTCACTGCATCACGTTCACAACGAAATGTAACTCTTATGTAACGCCAATTTGAGACATAGGATTTCCTTCGCGCGTTGTTTGCGTGTAGTTTGCGTGCATTTTCGCCAACAACGGAGTCGGAGTTGAAGTTCGAAATCGAAAGCAGTCACAATGGATGGTGATATCGCATACATTCATTTTCATTTCCATTCACAATACCAGATCTCACGCCCGCCAAGCACACTCTGAAGCTTACGACAGATACAAATTAAAAGAGAAGAGTCGGTTTTCTCTTTCTGTATCCCTTGGTTTGATTTTCACTAAATCACATCCCTCTGCATTGCGCTTCTGATCATGACTATGACTAAGACGCTCTCTTTGATGCAATCAGCCTTAAGTTAGAGTAGCTGGTGGAAGGAAGTGCTGAATCGAAGGTACGGTTTGCGAAAAGAAGTTGGCTCGCGAGGGAATTGTGGTTCCACCTCTTTTACGTCCCCATTACCGACAGCGACGTACCGCGTACTTTGAACTCTAAAATGGCTTGATAACATGCCACACCGAAATTGAACATCATCTAATGTCATCGTTGTTATCATATAAAACGCAAACACTCACATAAACACCCACTACAAATTATATGAACCCCGTACGTGGCGTGTTTTTTTAAATGGCTCATACCACTCTTGGATAGTGATTCGAAATTCTTATATATTGACTGGTGCTGTGCAGTATCTCCGTCAGTGGAGTTTCGATAAAGTCTGGAAGTAAAAGCTTCTTTTGATGGCAGGAATACTTTGTAGGCTCCCTGAATGAACTAGTCTGCTACACAGCCGTTCTTAGGGTCGTCACGCAACGTGGGGAGGAGCGTTGCGTGACGACCCTAAGAACGGCTGTGTAGCAGACTATAAATGAACCGGTCCTAAATAATACCTGTATAAAGTTCTCATGTGTATTTTCTAAATGAAGGCGTCTGTCTGTCTCTACCTCTATAAACCAATTACGTTAGAGGAAACATAGGTTAGATCTCATGATCATAAAATAGGCAATTACCTTAGATCTGTTTTACGCACTGAAAATATTTTTTCATACAGTGGAAACTCGATTTAGCGAACCTTTATATAACGAAGTCCTCGGTATAACGAACGATACTTCAGTTTCAGCCCGAGGTTCAACTGTTTATACTTCCTGAGGCCGACGCTGTGTTGTCTCGCCCCCAGTTTCATTTACGATAATACCACGATTAGGCGGTTAACAGGCATAATGGGATGTGGATACTAGATTAATATTTCAAAATAGAACCAAAAGGTTTTTATACTCTTCTACCCAAAGTAAATGGTTATAATCTTGCTTTCTAGGGATATTTTGCGCTCCTCTTCTTCTGGCTGCAGCATGCCACCGGCAATGGAACATGGGAAACACTCTGTGTTACGCTTACACCACAGTGCTTTCCTTGTCTGTCAATGTCTCAATCATGACTTTGTTTCTAATCAGCTTGGATCGCTTAAACTCCGTTTCCAGGCCTTTCCAGTATAGAGCAAAAGAAACCTTCACACAGCAATGGGCAGTATGGCTCATTCTTTTCACCTGGTTTCATTCCATATTCTGGGCCGCGGCGCCCTTACTGGGTTGGGGAGAGATCATCAAAGATAAAATTACCAACTCTTGCAAGCCTAACTGGTCAGCGAAAGGCCTAAAAAATGTTACGTACTCCATGGGATTGGCAGCATTTCCCTTTGCAATTCCTGTATTGTCGATGATAGTTATGTATATAATGATATATCGTAGGTCTAAAGTTAGCAATCGTTTCATAAGAGATAGATCACAGACCCTTGCGGATGAAGAAAAAAAGAGACGAAAGCAACAAAACGCCATATTACGGACAGTGTTAGTAGTCGTAGGTATGTTTGTGTTGTGTTGGTTACCCTACACCATTTCTACCACGTTTAAACTGTTCTTCCGCGCCTTTCCACCCATGTGGTTAGTTCATCTGGGATTAATGCTCGCCACTGCGAACAGCGCCGTTAACCCCGCAATATATTCAGCATTTGATAGGAGTATGCGGGACGAATTTAAGAGAATTTTACTCATATGTCGCAAAAAACGAGACCCGTTAGAAGAGGATGGGGTGCGGAGTCGGCGAACCAGCTCAAACCTGGCCACATGGAACAATACGATCACGAGAGTAAGCGATGAAGCTGTCAACAAGATCATTAGCGGCAAGGATGCTAAGGAGATGAACGGCAACAATTTACCAGGAAAACAAACAATGACAAACTCTTACAACAATATGATCGAGCTGTTCGTAAAGGACATTGCTCAAAAAGGGCATTATCCCACGAGAGAGACTTGGGTATAAATGTCTGCGCTGTCGATGTTTATATATATCAGCAGCGTTGAAGTACGTTTGCGCATGTGTGAAATGGATAGGCATTCCCACCGGATCCTCACTGAAGCCCATTTTCCATTGAATACGCCAACCAGAAATCACCCGAAATTCTCGAGATATCGAAGCACTTTGACTTCTCCTTTCTGTCAAGCTAAAAGGAGATGTCACCATCGTGCGTGCGTGGAGATGTCACCATCGTGCGTGCGTGGTCCTCTATCTCGTCATTCACTACAACTTGTATTCATTTTCACGTAGTTAAGAGTAACTCGAAGGATTTTTCACGGTGTATGCCATCGATGGCGCCTATATCACGAAAAGTTTAGTTTCATATTGAATGTTATTGGAGTGATCTGTTATGTGCATTTTGTACATAGCGACACTTACTATCGCGTATCAGACAGAGCTAAAAAAAAAAAACACCTTTGCGCGTAACACGAACTTTCGCAAGATCACGCTCGAAAAACCTTAGCTACACGATGTAAAAGAATTTACAATAAATTTTAAAGTGGTGAGGGTTTCTGTATGAAATGATGGTAGAATGAGTAAACTTAGCCCTTACACTGCAAACCGTCCTGAAAAAGGATCACAAAATACTTTCGAGCAGCACAGGTAAACCGAGAAGTATTAGTTCAGTCGCAAAAATGCAGCAAAAAGCCCGGCGTATCCCCAGTTTGTCTGAGCAATACATTTGCATACCAGTTCCAGTTCTGTCCTCGAATCTTTATTACTTTCCTTAATTAAATAGTAAATATAAAGTCAGACTTCAAATTGCCACGCAGACAAAGCTTAACATTGTAAATATTGGTCGGTGTAAATAAAGGTATTTATCACATCAATATTAAAAGAGGTTAAAGGGAAAGTAATAACGAATTTGCGATACGCAATAGAGTCATTTGGAATTACAATAAATTGTAAAAAATTATTATGATGCATCTACTTATCCATTACCCTTAAATAAAGAATTACATATTAAATAATTACCGTAAATCCTCTATTAAACCCCCCCTCTAATAACCCCCTCCCTTAGAGTAAGAAATTTATTAAGCCCCCACCCCTCCCCCTCTATTATTCGTCTGTAAAACAGCAAGAAAAGACGCGCGTAAAATGACGAGGTGAGAGCGCATAGAATAGTCTGGACAATAAGTAAGCTTCACTTCCAAAGCAATTTCAACGATTAGAAAAACAAGTATCGTTCTCTGGCAATTTCAGCTGTTCCACGGCGCGATTACAAGACAAAGTTTTCACAACGTACGCACGCGTTTACCGAAACTTCCCCGCATCAATCTATAAGTCCCTCAATTTACTGAGCTACTGTGTGGAATGACTGAGCCTGACAAAGAAAAAAAAAAGAAAAAGAAAGAAAATACAGAAAGATTCTAGCATTCAATAATCTACAATTCTTTATGTTTGCCCTGTGATTCGGTCTGTTGACCTCTTAAAACATCACGTCTTTCCAGTATAAAGTCTCTCACAGACGGGTCCAGTTGTTTAGAATATTGTCCAAGAAAATTGTTGAAATCCTCCAGGGTTTTGTCATCCCTCAGGAGGAACTCCTCCACAAAAGGACTTTGT